CCGCCTTTCGATACCCACAACCCCCACCCGCTTGGTCACCCACGCTAAGCTTCTCTGACCTTTACTATGACAAGTCCAGTATATGTCAGTATGATATAGCCCATAAATTATATATGTTATATTTTCAAAGTGAAACATCTGTCCTAAACTCTTGAATTTCAATATTTTTACTGCAGAGCACAGTGTATTTTTCTGTAGAACTAAATCGCAACTGATTGTGGCACGCCACAAGAATGGCATCTCATCCTACCGGGTACCCAGTTATACTGCTTGGTGAAGGCATGTTTGGAACAAAATTACTTGCCTAAGGAGTCACCATTATCCTACGTTTGCTTCAATTTGGGGCACGACCGAAGAATCTGGAACTCACAGGGGTGACGCTATTCTCAGCTTGAGAGTTGTGGGCAGTGCACAGGTTTACGGGTCACCGGTACTAGACACACACCTATACATTATTCTCCACAAACCGTACATATGAATGTCCAGATTAAATAATCATTGGACATTAATAATGATTCTTTTAATTACTGATAAATTCATCTATGATGATCCGGATTAAGCAAAGGCAAAACGGAATAGGGTGGTCAGATTCGCTGAAATGGTTGATAAATCTCATCGTATCCCCAATGCGTACATTGACGCTCATGATATCAATCACTGGATTGTTTTGTCCAGACTCGAATACTTACAGACCGCCACCACAGAGCTGGAATATTACTGACTGCGGCGGCAAAAATGAAATAACTGACCAATAATAATTGATGATGCCTACCGATATATGTGTTTTCAGGAGTAACGGGGACTGAACAGTTTGTTTCCCAGTTATTGATGTATCAAATGCCTAATTCTATTTTTACATTCAGTGAGTGAGTGAATGCGTTGGGTTTTACGCCGCTTTGAGCAATATCCCAGAAGTATCACGACGGGGAAATGGGCTTCACACATTGTACCCATGTGGAGAATAGAACCCGGGTCTTCGGCGTGACGAGCGAACGCTTTAACCACGAAGCTACCCCACCGCCCCTTTTACATTCAAAAGGGTATGGTGCCCTCCTAATGAGACCGGAACATTGCTTGTTCAATACTGACACTTACACAAATGAGTCTTATGAAATATATTCTGGAAAATGTCCCAAATGTAATAAAATACCTCAGCGTCTGATATATAACCATTAACACATTGATCGGCGTGTGCAGTTTACTTCATCAGTCATCACAAGGATCAATTCATCTGAGTATTCCTTGTCAGAAATGCAAACTAACGAGAAGTGGTTGGTTATAACTTATGATCTAGTTAATAAACCGTTGTTCATAATATCAACCACTTGTTTGCTTGGTTAATACGCGACTGTTCACAGACCATCGTGACATTGTTGAACAGTGCTGACGACGGCAATAAATTAATGAATTATTTACTCACTGATTCTTTCGCATATTTTCTTTGATTGTGAAATAGTTCAGTCTGGTATTTGTAGACAATAACATCCCGTAACCTGAAAAAAGACTCGTACCCCTCTCGTAGCCATTTTACTGAACTTGACTCTGTCTGAGCGCAAAAGCGCAGAGAGAAAGAAGTAGTCTAGTCGCGGAACTATTTCCAAGGGCATGTAACTCTAGTTTACTTGGAAAACAAACATGGCATCCACGCCAAGGAAATTACCCCAAAGGGTATGTTTAACATGCTTAATACTTTCCTACGCCATAATGTTAATATATCCTGGTTATAAAAATTCAGGAAACCCAAGAGGACTATGCAATAATTACAAATACATTTTGACCCAATTGCTTCTCTACATACGCGCATTCTGATTGGCTGGGGGAATATTTCTCCCGGACATGGCTACGAGAGGGGTACGAGTCTTCTTTCAAGTTAGGGAAAGAGGGAGTAGATACGAATGTAACATCCACATGATTCCTTGAGTAAACAAGGGACAGAGATGTGAGTTTGTGCGTTAGTGCATCTTGTTTTGGTTTTGTTTATTTACTTATGCTCTGAATCAAACTTTAAACATGACAAAAACATTTAAAAGATGCAAATTCATAAATATTATAACACAATCGCACGAGTAAACATTCGATTAAACGTAATAACATTAACCCTGTGCAGCGGCCATAAAATCCCGTGCTGGAAGCACGAACCTTATCATCCGAGATCGGACGCATTGTCCACATGGCCAAAGATGTTAACCCTGGCAGCAAACTAGCAGAGTAAGGATGTCATCTGTCGGATGGCTCCACAACCTGCTACACCTGCATACCACAGGAGTTAACGAGTTTAGTTTTACGCCGCTTTTAGCAACATTCCAGCAATGTCACGGCGGGGGACACCAGAAATGGGCTTCACACATTGTACACATATAGGGAATCGAACCCGGGTCATCGGCGTGACGAGCGAACGCTTTAACCACTAGGCTACCCCACCGTTCCACATACGACAGGGAGAGCGGAAGGTCGCGGGTTCGATCCCCGACCGCGTCATACCAAAAGACGTAAAAATATGGTCCTTGTTGGTCCCTGCCTGGCGCTCGGCATTAAGGAGTGGTCGGCTCGGAGTCAATATAATGTATCTGAGTGGGGTATTCACGCTTCACTGCGGCATGGTATCTCAGTGGGTTAGCACTATAAACCCAGTTTCAGCCTGGGCTAGTACAAGCAGCAGCACATACACATTCACACGCATGCACGTCGTCATATGAGCGAAATATTCTCAAGCACAACGTTAAACCCAATTTCACCTCACCTCACATACGACAGGACACGAGGGACCTATTCTTCCCCGGAATCCACACGGGTGGGTGAGCTGTAGTAACCACCATCCTTCAACCCACAGCCAGAAACAGATTTGGTAAACGTGTAATTACCTAACTAATAAATGTTTTCAGTCCAATTGTGTCAACACTGTCTCATTCATCACAGACATACAGACTCAGTGACATGTTGTTCCATTCCCCATTAACTTTAACAACGGCCCAGACACCCCAGTGTGAAATCTCTTCAGTGAGTGAGATTCCCACACATATGCTGTAAAGCCATATGTGACCACCAGCAACGTGTACGGCGACACTTCGTCATCATCGGAGGTAAGCGAGACTGCACGTATGTCGGTAGATGTAAAATGTAATCCAAGGTTCGGCAAATATATATCAACTTACGCTTATTGAACATTTGCACTTGGTTTGCTCGTCCAGTTGGTTGCTTAGTAGCAGACAGCATTAGCACTGGTGGTCTTCGGTTCATGATGATGTGCAAAATACCGAATTTATCTTTGTCAACTACACTGATGTACCAGCTCCCACGACAACACACATTATTGATCTTTTGTTTCGTTTAACGCCGCACTCAGCAATATTCCAGTTGTATGGCGTCCGTCTGTAAATAATGGACCTGGATCGGGCAATCCAGTGATCAACAGCATGAGCATTGATATACGCAAATGAGTGAGTGTTGTATTTACCTCGAGCCTGACATCCAGAGCCTCGACATCACTGTGGTTTTGCTTTCATCAGCAGCACGGAGATTCCGGTTTAGCGTGAGTGAGTGAGAGAGTTTAGTTTTACGCCGCTTTTAGCATTATTTCAGCAATATCGGGGTACACCAGAAATAGGCTTCACATATAGTACCCATGATGGGAATCGAACCCGGGTCTTCCGCGTAAGGAACGAACGCTTTAACCACTAGACTGTCCCATCGCTCCTTCCGGTTTGAATCATCTCAATAGCAATACCATATTCTTGTACATGTAACTGGTGGTAAGGCTTGGGTTTTTTCCGTACAGAATAATCTGCGTCCTAAAATACTGGGATGAAATATGTTGTTATTGTTGTTGTTGTTGTTGTCATGTTTCAGGGTGTAACAAGTTCATATTCTGCCAGTGTGACCGTAATTTTAAATATTATTTGTTGGGGAATTAAATAGACACTGTATTTGTTCAGGATGATATTCGGCGGACGGCGTCTTTGGCCGATGCTCCTCACGAATACATCAAGCAACACAAGGTTGTGGAGAGAGACTTTACGAGCGCTTCCTTCATTAACCGCGCCACGTCGATCTTCAGATGAGTACATTACAGTTGCGACAAATCCGTTTACGGGCACTTTATTCCGTGGGTTGTGGGTTTTACAAAAAGGTGAACAGCTTTCCTTTCTTAATTTGACTTTATAATACTGAAATAATGTTCAAAGCGGCTCGAAAACCCATCCCGCTGGCTCATAATCGGTATGTCACGCCACGTTTTAGTATCGCGATGAGACATTGACTTTTTATTAATAACACTCATTACCTGCGATGTATTTACACCTTTACGTTTCAAGTTATATAGAAGAAGAAGAAGAAGAAGAAGAAGAAGAAGAAGAAGAAGAAAAAATATGGTTTATTACCGTGTAACATGATGAATTACAATAAAAGACATTTCATTATCCCGGGGATTTAATATCAGTATCCGGCCATATGGCCTATAAGACACAATTATCACAGTTATATAAAAACATTGATAATAAAGTGCCTGCGTGCATGTGTGTGGTGTGTCTTGTTTTACACACATACGATATGTGAATATATATATAAAATACCAAGTATTTTATCGAAATTCATATAAATATATCTTAATGATCTAACTAGTTTTTGAGAACATATATCCCATTTCTCCGACAAGTATGCCACACCTCCATTTGCCTAGTGTCAATAAGCATCGTGTAAGTATTTTCAAAATCTTGTCAACAAACAGTAACCTACATGCGAATTCGTTGCATGTCTACAAAATTGAATTTAAGCCTGTCTGAAGCCCAAGGTCACCTGGTGGTCACGTCTTAGGCTAATCTAATGTCGCAACTAGCCGTCCCCGGTCAGCCTCCTCGGGAGGCGGAGGGGGGCAGTCCCCCGAGGTTCACCCTCCAGCAGTACAAGCTTGTGCTTAGTGTATAATTGATCCTGACCGCCACAGCTGGTGCCCGAACAGAGACTGCCGTCACATGTGGGCCTACATTGATGTCAAGGAATCGCCAGCATTATAGCGTGGGCTGGCTTGCTGCACAAGAACTAGAGTAATAGTTACATGGTATGGATACCATCGGACTTCCATACGGGTTTAGCGTGTGACGACCTCCAAGAGACATGGGATGGATATAAGACTTGATATTATGCCGAAAGGTAAGTTTGGGGTTTTCTCCTCATCTCATCTCCTCAATCTCCTCATCTCGAATCATTTGTGTACTCATAAGTTACTGGTTCAGCGAATCAACTTGATCAATAGGTACCGTGACTGACTCTCCACCATGAATACAAGGTGTGGTTTCTGGTCCCTTCACAATTGACATTGACTTTCATACACACATGAATAAACGCGATCGATTTTTACATTGTGCCTTTAAATTTAATGCTGGCCACTGAAGTCGAAGTTTGGACTATAAACAGTGAGTATGTTTAGTATACCTGTCGCTGTAAGTAAGTAATACATGGTTGGAGGACATTGATGGGACGTCCGACTCTCCACTAGTCGAAACCTCACAGTCTTACATCACTTTGTACGATGACGTCGTTCAGGTAAATATTTACATATTTTGGAGTGTTTTTTTCCAAAACATCTAAACCCGTTGCATCAACTCAAGTGATACTGACATTTTACAACCCATTCGGTTAAACCGTTAGCCCTAACAATATAAAAAGACCCTATCACCCCCTTTCTGCGGTGTCAGCAATGACTAGGCATGAACATTGAATTGAATTTTCAAATGATTTTTACCCATATAAAGTCACACATATTTTAATGCCACGCGATTCCTGAATCGTGCTGGATCATTTGAATGTCTATTGCTATGAATATGACTTTTAAATAATTTTCCCCAGGCCCAAACATTCACATGAATTCAATATCATGCCTTGGACCTTACTTTAACACGTATATACCTTTAGTTTGACCTACACAAAGACTGAGTGAACCCTAGGAGTGATTGATTAACACTATAAGCAAGTCAGTAAGTAGGTTTAGATTTTGGACAGTATATCTTTAATAGAACTTCGTAACAGCTTGATCTGGGAGGGAAACCCGAAGTAATATAGGTCTCAGAATGTTCCGTGTTGGTGAACCCCTTGAACACGGGTAAGGTCTTGACATATCAAGAACTCCCTGTCAGAGGTTTCTGATGGTGTAGTCTGCCTCGCAGTCCCTGAACCCAAAATGCTAAAGCCCCAGATGAAGCAAGTCTCGATTCTACACAGGTTCAGGTCTAAATCTTCCATTTCACTCCTTGTCAATATAAATGGAATTATTTCTTTCTATCTATTATATACTAAGCAGCAAAAGAAACGTCAGTTTGGAATTTTCCTTCGCAGAAACGGATAAGTGTAAACTCATTTAATGTTTTGATTGTATATTTTTGACAACATCTCCAACTTTACCTGAGCAAAGACATTCCTTCCCAAACTCAGAATGGAACCCAGGAAATGGTCTCAAAAACGTAACCTGATCTCGGAGATGGTACGATGTTCTCCATGTTTTTTATGCAACTCATGCTGCACGTGCTGTTCACAAGGACCAGCCCTATAAAATGCACCCCCAAACCTGGTTGAAACATTCACATTACAACGTCAGGAGGTTGCCGCAACTCACGACAGCTCAGAGGAACCAGGCGCTAGGAAGACTTGAAGCTGGCCACACTGCACAAGCCGTTGCCAATCATTTCCAGGTCAACGTTCGGACCATGTACAGGCTGCAGCAACGTTTCCGGACCACCAACACCACAAATGATCGCCCCCGTACTGGTAGACCAAGGGTGACCACAAGACGACAAAACCGCCATGTTGTGCGACAGCATGTACAGAATCCCTTCATGCAGGCATTCGAAACAGCACGCCAGACAGTGGGAACACACGGAAGACCAATCAGTACTGATAAAGTACGTCGACGTCTTAACAGCGGGAACCTCCATTGCCGTTGACCTTACCGTGGACCTATCCTCACCCCTCGTCAATGGCGTGAACGTCTACAGTTTGCCCTACAACACCAAAACTTGCGATACAGGCAGTGGAGAACTGTTCTGTTCACAGATGAGAGTCGGTACTGCGTATCAACTGCAGATGGCAGAACAGGAATATGGCGACGACGTGGCCAGCGTTACTCAGACCAATGTGTTATGGAAAGAGACTCATGGGGAGGTGCAAGCATCGTGGTATGGGGTGGAATAGGCCTGAACCAGAGAGTGGGTCCTGTGGTGTTCCAGAGCCTTGGTCCAGGGAGAGGAGGCGGCATCACAGCGGTGCGCTACATCGACCAAGCTCTCAGACCCCACGTCATACCACATTTCGCACGTCACCGGAACAACATTTTCCAGCATGATAACGCCCAGGCCCATACTGCCAGAGCTACACGGGACTTCCTACAGCAGAACGGTGTCTTCATTATCCAGTGGCCAGCCCTTAGTCCTGATTTAAACCCAACTGAACATCTTTGGGATGAAATTCAGAGGAGACTGAATAATGTCATACCAAGGCCGAACACAGCCGATTTATTGCGCCAGGCCTTTCTCAGAGTGTGGTTCCAGATGCCAATGGCCTTCATCAGTCGATTGGTGCACTCCATGCATAGACGCTGTGCTGCAGTTATTGCCGCTCGTGGTGGTCACACTAGATACTGAAGTCAAGAGTCTGAATGGACTGCAAACTTTCACGTAATGTCTTGGAATTGTGCTGAGTTATTCATTGATGTGTCAGGATATTGTACACAAAAAATGTTTTTGATCCGCTTATTATGTCCATATCTGTAATGATTTGATTACAGTGCCTATCTAATTTTGAATTCGTACTGACGGTTTTTTTGCTGCTGAGTATATATATTCAGAGACTAAGCGTTAGTCTACTGGTGGTCATAAAACACTAATTCCGGCGCCTTAGATGGTTGAAGTGAGTGAGTGAGTGTGTTTAGTTTTACGCCGCACTCAGCAATATTCCAGCTATAGGGCGGCAGTCTGTAAATAATCGAGTCTGGACCAGACAATCCAGTGATCAACCCCATGAGCATCGATCTGCGCAATTGGGAACCGATGACATATGTCAACCAAGTCAACGAGCCTGACCACCCGATCCTGTTCGTTGCTGTGTGCGGCGTAAAACTGAACTCACTCACTCACTCATTTATATCACGCCTTAACATAGAGGACCGCCACATAGCTGGAATATTGCAGAGTGCCGCGTTAAACAACAAAACAAAACCTTTGAAGAATAATCAGGCAACTGGTTACGATAACCCTTGCAAACTTAACACATAATATACACTGTATTATGTGAAGACCGATGTTTCATTTCTATCTCTCCTGACATCTTGAGGGTCGGTTGGGTAGCCTAGCGGTTAAAGCGTTCGCTCGTCACGCCGAAAACCCGGGTTTGATTCCCCACATGTGTACATTGTGTGAAGCTCATTTCTACTGTTCCCTCTAATGGTTTGTGTTTCTTGTCAGGTGAAAATCGATATTCAAAGTGAAAGGTATATGACATAAACCATATTGAATTTAAGTTTCATGTGATCAACATCTGGCCGACAACGGTCTACTCATGTATGTGCCCATTTTTTCTTTTATTATGTTCTGGAATTCGCAACATCGATTTGAATAGGAACACACCACAGTCTGTGGAAACAGCTGTCGCCAGGCATATATATGATGTGTGCATGGATTCTGTAGATGAATAGTATTGCAACTTTCTTGCCTTGGAAACCATTAGCATTTCTGGAAATCAATATTTATAGGTATTGACAGATAACCTAATAGTACTTTGTTGGAGTCTGACACAACAGTGAGTAAGAGAGTATGGTTTTACGCCGCTTTCAGCCATATACCAGCAATATCACGGCACGAGACACCAGTCTTATTTTACCAACGTAGGGAATCGAACCAGGGTCTTCGGCGTGACGAGCCAACGCTTTAACCACTAGTCCAACCCCCTGGCACAACAGAGAGATATGGTTGTTCAATTCTTCGCAAAGAATCATCGCCCAATCTACATGCGGATACCTTACATGATGACAATAATAATATCCCAAACTGTCTGTGAGGCGCTAGAAGGTTAATTGTCATATGACTTAATATATCCCACCGGGTACCCATTTTCTGCTGGGTCGACAGAGACAATTGTGAACAAACTCATGATGACAGATGGATACTTTGTCACACAAGACCTGACTGACAGTTGGCCATTTTGTTACGTAAGACGTTATACAAGATTAACTCTTAAAAAAAAAAAAATTCTTTTCCTCTTTATAAAACATATAAACCTATTTTGCACTTGATAATTGTATCACAGAAGGCTAGCTCTTCATGAGAACATTTTGTCACAAAGGGCAAGATGTGTTTAACCAACAATTCACAGTCCGCCACAGTCCGCCATTTCATAATAAACTCAAAACTTTAAATTCAGAACGGAACCTCTTGACCTTATTGTCATTTGTCAAGTTTCTCGCAGTACAATATTTTCTTACTAAAAGTTAATGCCACCACATAATGGTTTCTGAAGAACTGACAGGATGTCATTTTTTCAATATAGCATATATATTAACATGTAGCAGGCGCTATACAAAGTCATATCATGATCAAACATTTATAAACCTGACTGACAGGTCGCCGTCTAATCACTAAACACGGCGTCTGTGAATATTGGGATCTGACAGTTGGACATTTAGTAGTAATACAACGCTGTCTTAAGAGCATACACCTGATTGGTCAATAACATCCATGTGTATTGTTATCCACATGACATTCGACCAGCACACACTGTAAATTTTCGTTCATTATCATCGATATATAATTTGAAATAAAACCCCTTATTTTGATGTGTGCTTTCTCAGCCCATCAAGACTCGGCTGTGATTTCCGTCAAGCATGCACAAGTCAAAACATTGATTACACGACAGTCTCGTTTCCTGTTGACTGGGTTCCGTCCTATTGCGCAACTTAGTACAATAACCAGTCCAGAATTTTGAGACCAATTCATTTAACTGGATACATAAATATTAATCAGTATATACATCTTTTGATACATCTAAGCACTTGTATATTGCAACACTACGCTCCTTATAATCCTTGCAAACACGTCGTGCAGCTTGCTCTGTCGTACAGCGAGCACTGACAAACAGAAACCTGGAAATCGTGGAAATCTCAAAACGAGGCTCCGCCGCTAGAAAAAATTGGCGTTCTGGTACGGACTTGATATTATATCAATCACATTGCGCGTTACAGAACTACACTGAATGACCGCAAAAAACACATAACAGATGTAACCAGTCAGCCAGATGCATTGTGAATCATTTTACGACCTCATCAAACTGGGGCAGTCTGTGACGTCTTAGTTCAAGTCATACTGCCTACAGCTCGCCATAAAATGTAGAAATACGATATTATTAAAGTTTAAAATTAAAATCTATTTGTAAATACCATTTTCTTATGAAACAAGAAATTTGAATTCACTGTAACCATAGTTGTTTGTGATGTCTATTTTCACTTTCACACGAGAAAATTTGGATCGGCTGAAAAGTAGGTCATTGACTGAATAGGTTAAGGAGACTCATGTTTCGGTTTGATGAGGCAGACAGAGGCGGTGTAGTGGGATGTTGGTAGACGCACCTGATGCCGCCGTCACCCAGCGACCAGCCATTTACCGTTGATATATGTACGCGTGAAATGTCTAGGGATGGTGTGTTTAGCTTCATGTAGGGACAGGTATCAGCACTTCCACTGAAAGTGCTATGTGAATAGATTCATCAAAAAGACACGACACATATTGCGTTCGTTTATACCTCATACAGACCATTTACCTTGCATCTTCCTATAACCATATACCCGACATATTTCATTGTGCCACGATTTTTGCACTTTCCCTTGTATGCACCCTGCCGTCTTCCCGCAGACATGCACATTGCCACCTTTCGTAAGATCATACACCCTTCCTTTAGACCTCGAACCTTTGTTCCTTCCGTTATAACATGCTTCCCGCCATCTTCTACAGACCATGCACCTTGCATTGATCGTGTACCCAACACCTTTCAGTATTCCATGTACCTTACACCATACATCAGATCGTGTACCCAACACCGTTCAGTATTCCATGTACCTTGCACCATACATTAGATCGTGTACCCAACACCTTTCAGTATTCCATGTACCTTGCACCATACATTAGATCGTGTACCCAACACCTTTCAGTATTCCATGTACCTTGCACCATACATTAGATCGTGTACCCAACACTGTTCAGTATTCCATGTACCTTACACCATACATCAGATCGTGTACCCAACACTGTTCAGTATTCCATGTACCTTACACCATACATTAGATCATGTACCCCCACACCTTTCAGTATTCCATGTACCTTGCACCATACATTAGATCGTGTACCCAACACCTTTCAGTATTCCATGTACCTTACACCATACATCAGATCGTGTACCCAACACTGTTCAGTATTCCATGTACCTTACACCATACATCAGATCATGTACCCAACACCGCTCAGTATTTCATGTACCTTGCACCTTAGATCATGTACCCAACACCGTTAAAAATTTCATGTATCTTGCACCATGCATTAGATCATGTACCCAACACCGTCCAGTATTCCCTGCAGCTTGCACCATACATTGGACCATATACCCCCAAACACCGTTCAGTATTCCATGTATCTTGGAACATGCATTAGATCATGTACCCAACACATTTCAACATTTCATATACCTTGCACCTTCCCTTAAACAATGCACCCCACACCTTTGATCATCTAATGTATCTTGCACCATCCATCAGATCAATGTACCTTGGATCTTCCGCTAAAATATGAAGCTATCTTACTCCCTTTACATTGTATATGTATTGTGCCTTGGATAGAGTACCCTGCAACCTACCTCTATATTCTGCATCTCACCACCTTGCCTTGGATCAAGTACCCCGGCAAGAAGGTACCCCGATCAAGTACCCCAGGCAACCCGGAATCCTACATTAGATCATCTGCGCGGTATTCCCTCTCAGGTCGATATCATTGATCAAGTTCTGTGACTGATTTAATGAAACAGACATGAAAACAACAATGCACAAATTCCTTCATACACACTATTCATACACTAACGTGGCAGTAGGGTAGCTTGGTGGTTAAAGCGTCTGTTCATCACGCTGAGACCCCCGGTCGATTCCCCATATGGGTACAATGTGTGAGGCCCAGTTCTGGTGTCCCCCGACGTGAAATTGCTGGAATGTTGCTAAAAGCGGCGTAAAACCATAATCACTCACTCATACACTATAACACACACTGGCTATGTAGGTCAAGTAGCAAGCACGTTTGTTCATTATGCTGAGCAGTGTCCTCATCGTGCCATGAATCACCACCCTGCAACGTTGGCCATTAGATCACGTATCTTGCCACCTCCACCTTAACTCTTTCCCTGTCCTTACCACCTTCCGCCTAAAGCACACCGTCATCTTTAAGGTGCCAGCTCACACCGAATTATCTGTGGATTTATATCCTCAACCACTTTATCCAGGGATCGTTACCTAATCATCTTAGAGCTCCCCTGCCTCATCGATTCCGCCTTAGCATTGTGTGTAAGAGCACTCACAATATTCCACCTATCTCCACCAAACCAGGCTGAACACACGAGAGGCGTCCTGGTGATCTGCATCACGGGTGTGGAGGCAATACGTTCTCTTTAACACGGTGTGTACAGACTAGTCTTTTGGTAATGGCGATTTGAATATCATCTTAACGTATTTTTAATGTATTATATGCCTCTGTGACATTGTGTACTGTAACTGTTTCTGTTCGCCAGGTAGACATGAACGATGACAACCCTTCAACTCCCCTGGTCTCCGACAAGTCGAACAGTTACAAATACATGGAGGAAAGCTCGGGGACCAGCGCGGCAAGTGCCCCGAAACCGGAAACAGAGAAGAGAGAAAGAAATCTGGGATCGAGGCTTGAGCTGAGGAAGAAGCTGATCTTGAGACGAAGATGGCTTGTGGATATCAAATTTGTGATGGCGATGTCGGGGATCTTGTTCATGGTGGTTGAAAATGAACTGTACTACTCCAATATGTACGAGAAAGGTACTGTCGTGTCTATAGTGTTGAAGTCTCTGACGTCGATCTCCACTCTAGTGCTGTTGGTGGCCGTCTGCATGTACTACCACACGGGGATGGAGATCCGGATGGTAGACGGTGGCGTGGACGACCCCCTCGTTGTCACACCGGTATACACGTGGGTCATGTTGGTAGCTGAACTTCTGGTCTGCGCCGTTCACCCATTTCCTGGAGATATAAGAATCGCCATGGACTCTTTACGTGGTATTAAAACGTCTTCCAGTATTGATGGAATTCTTTCCGTGTTAATGATGTTCCGGCTGTATATTGTCGGCAAGTTTATGGTGGTGCACAGTCGGCTTTTAACGGATCCTTCTACTCAGAGTATTGGAGCTGTGAGTACGGTTAGAATAAACCCGTTCTTTGTGTTTAAGTGCGCTATGAACAACCACCCAGGTTTGGTGATAACTTTCATTATGTTAACGATGTACACTGTGAGTGTTTGGGGAATGAGGACCTGTGAACTGTATTACACCCAGACAACTGAAGTCGCAAGTTTTACAGAATCAATGTGGCTGTCTGCCATAACATTCCTGACAGTTGGGTACGGGGATCTTACACCAAACACCCACTGTGGACGTTTCATCGCTGTGGTGACCGGTCTCATGGGATTAGGCTCCACCGCATTGTTAGTGGCTGTCATTGCGCGGCGTTTGGAGCAAAGCCGATCGGAACGTTACGTTTACAACTTCTTAACAAGGATACACCTGGAGAATAAACGTAAGAACGCCGCAGCCGACGTGGTGAAGTTGATCATTAGAATCTGGATAAGAAAGCGGCAGTTCAACACAGCTATATCAACTTTTACTTTACTAAACTGGAAATTACGTAACGCTGTTCGTACTATGAGACTGGCTCGGGCGTCACTAGCCGAGATTGACGGCACTTCAATCAGTTTGATTGAGATCAGTCAAGTTATGACGCGGGTCAACGGCGTCGTGGACGCCATGCTGTCGTCACAGAACCAAGTGTGTCGACGACTGCGACTTATTGAAAGCCAGCTTGCAAAGATGCAAACCGCCATGGGAGTAGAAACTCATGAGAAGCCTACGAAGGAACTGAGACGTTCGAAAACTCAGGATTAACAGACACTGTTGTAGAATGTATAGGGCCTGTAAGTCTCGCGAGTGCTACTTCCGGTACTAAGCTAGTTCCCGGTACCCTTTACGCTCGCCAACTTGCGATATGCGGGGCCCAGCTTACTTCCGGTAGCAGATTTCCGGTGACAAGCGTATATTCAAGAACAAGTTCTGGTTCCAAATTGCGCGACCGTCAAATATGACTTTACTAGACCGGACCAAGTGTACAACCATGCTTGGCTGTCACAACTGTTGACAATTGTAATAGTTGTCTAATTTGGGGATGGTTAGATCGGAAATTTGTTATGTCTGCAAGGAGTATCGGTTATTTACTGTCAACCGACAACCATGAGACGTTGTTTGTCACCGGAAGTACTAAGGTCTCGCGAAGTGTCGTGACCTACTTACGGGCCCTATTGTTTAGATATCTTAAGTACAGGTAGTGATTCCCACTATGCACGTGTGAAAAGATGTTTGATGTGACGCGTTAAAGATAAACCAGTATCTGTGATTTAGTTCCCTACTACAGTCGTGTGTACACTGGACTCCCTCGATCACGGAAAACATTATTAAGGCGTAAAAACGTTTCTTTGGCAGCGGCGCGTCAATCATGCGCCTGAATTATTTTAATTTTATAAAATTGGGTCAGGTGAAATGGAAATTGATATCCATGCTTGACAGCTGACGTTATGAACGTCATGAAGCCATTCATTTAAGTTATCTTTTACCATGTTTGTTTGAACATATCGTAGCAACATTACAATTAAAAAAACTCATATGTTTTGTCATTAACTTTTTCTGGTTATATTTTCTACAGTATACTTTTTCTTTTATTGAATTTCTAAAAGTGAAAAAACGTTATGCACAACAACTGAGGGTAACTTGATAATAAATTAATTTTCTTCTTTAGTTACAAATTCACGTCACAGATCGTAGAGGTCATGATTGCATACTCAATTCGTGCCCAATCTTCACTAAAACAATTCAATTTTAGAGAAAAATAACCAGCCAATACTATTATAGTGACAAAGGACCCATTTCTCGGCTCGAGTGGATGTGGACTTCGAAGTTCGAGATATATGTACAAATGTAATTGTAATTGTATTCATAGAAAGATGCGTTTGGGGCCGAGGAGTTTCATCGAGACATGCATGACATTCGAGATTGAAGGAGTCCATTGTATATATCTGTTGATCGAACTGATATGGTGGAAAGGTAATATCATGTATCATTAAGAACACATAGGTCACAGTTTATGTTGATTGTTTTGAAGAATTATAAGGACCAGGACTGAAGTGTGATTCTTCGTGGTGTTGTGGTATCGTTCTAAATGATAAACCTCCGAGAAGAGCCTAACAACGAAAACATTACAATTGACATTAGGAAAACATTTTTACAGACTTAATTACATGTTTTATTTCTTTGATAACACTATTTTCATGTAAACAATCAGTGTATGAAAAAAGCCAAAAACCCAGTCAGACATCGGGGCTGGTACTTCAAAATGTTACCTGCCCAATCTGGATTTAACCAGACTATACTAGACAATCCCAAGAAAATAACAAAACTTTTAGTTGCAAATAATGATTTAATGACCCTGAGACATGCGTTTACTCTCTAATAGTCTATTCGTTTTGAGAGAAATCCGAGTAAAATTTTATCTAAACATTTTACCAAACCATGGGGCTGGCTAGCTGTAAATTTAGACCGTCCGTCAGAAATCCAGCTCGTCTCTGGCGGTCGAACGAGCTTATTTCAAACACTGGAAAAATATGTAACCTACGTTCTTGTACAATAATAACAACCTAGTGATTCTACTTATTCCAAACTGTAAGCTTCTGATATCAGAGGCTAAAGACTTCAGCAGGGAGGCTGTTTTTGTAACTATGGCCTGTATTTTCCTCTGCTGAATCATCTCATGTAACATAGCCTGATGTGGTGGATCTTCATCCCCGGATGATGTTCCTGTATGGATGGTCCAACAGTGATGAAATGAATTATAAACAAGTTGAAGTTTACAGGTGTCGGTTATTTTATCCTTATTGGACTCACCACTTGGGTGGAATCCGTGCATATAGGTTTGGTGTTGACGAAAATTGGAACGTACTCAGGAACAAATCGAACACGAAATCAATTAATCCTGCACGACTAATCGTGGCGGCTTAGTCGACCGCAGTAGCATCCCTCTTAGCATAAAGTCTTTGGCGTCTTTATTGTCATGCTGTATCTGTATGTATAGATCGATATGTTTCACTGGCCTCTTGTATATCTAGCATAGGTGGGTTAATCAAAGGAAGGGAGTCAGCAATTTGACCATTATTGAACGATATCACATCAGTAAAGTTACACGTTTTGGTAAAATCCCTTGTTTTGATATTTGTCTACACAGCACAGATTCCTATTCACACACTTAAAGAAATAGACCCCCATGGGGTGCATGCTTCTTGCCTAAATGTTCCTGTTGCTTCAGCCTTTGTCAATAATCGGTGTGCCCCGTGTGAAGATCCGGTTAGAATTGATCTTCAGCAACCCATGCTTGTCGTAAAAGGCGACTAACGGGATCGGGTGGTAGGACTCAATGACTTGGTTTACACATGTCAACGTATCCCTATTGTGTAGTTCGATGCTCATTCTGTTGATCACTGTATTGCCTGATTCAGACTTGATTATGTACAGACCGCCGGCCATACAGCTGGAATATTGCTGAATGCAACATTCAAATTAAACAACAAACAAATATTTACTCGATGTTGTTGTAAGAGATGGCACATGTTCAATTTCGCGGAAGTTAACAAATATAGGTATTTGGCACATCTCATTAAACCCACCAGGGCCTCCTTTCACAAAGCACTTAGGTGATCGTACGTGACTAAGGTAACCTCAATGCAATCTTAAAGGATGGGAGTTAAGGTTAACCTTAGTTAAGGTTGCTTCGTGAAAGGAGCCCCAGGACTATATGCTGCATCAGGATTAACAGCTACACGAACGGAAGAGGAAAAGACACAATCTTCCGAAGACGTAACACCAGAAGCATTAAACATAATACAGGCAACGTGATACATACATGTCACACTAATAACAGAACAAACACAAAAGGCGAGTGTATATCCAGCTCCTACAGCACTGGTCACAAACACACGCAAAGGCTAGTCAACTATTCACCAAAAAACACAAGCCAGACTAACAGCACGCATATCACTACAACAGAAGACACGCTACACTGTAGAAATAGGAAAGACTAACAGGCTAGGATTTTTGTTGTGAAGCTAGCACTAAACCGTTGGCGCCTTTCCAATTTATCCAGTATCCAAGGTATCGTGGCTAGAAGAATGGCAGCCATTTTATGAGGAACCAGCATCTGTAATCAATATTAGGGAAAATTAGGCTAAGCAAAATGTTCCAGGTTAAATTGCATTCCTGTAAACAGAATTTGTTTTCGGTCGCTGCCTTAAGAAAATATTTTGTCAACCGAAACCCTAACCACTCCTAGAATTTCAAATAGCCAATACTATTAACATTGAGAAACAGGCAACAGCTGTAGGCATACATTGGATCTGCGGTATACGAGCACTTATAGAACTAATTAACCCAGTACAACAGAACCAGTGATCGCCCATTCTACAATGCTATTACAACAATGTTATTGTTAATCTTGAAATGACATGAGAACATATATCCTTGGGTCAGTACATAAACTGTGCGTCATAGGTGGAATGCACGATAACCTTTCGTTTGCCTTTGTGAACTGGAACGATCACTGGTTTCTAGTTACTAGATATAAATACTGGATATGTCGATGTACAGTGGTGACATATCCATTGTTTGTACGGGGTAAGACTAAATAAGATCAGGGTTAGAATTGGTCTTCAGTAATCCATGCTTGTCCTATGAGGCGACTAACGGGATCGGGTGGTCAGGCTCGCGGTCTTGGTTGACACATGTCATCGTATCTCATTTGTGTAGATCGATGCTCGTGCTGTTGATCACCATATTGTCTGGTCCAGACTCGATTATTTAGTGACCGCCGCCATATAGCTGGAATATTGCTGAGTGCGGTGTTAAACAACAACCAAACCAAGCTAAATAGTATTACTAAGATGGCAGGAATGGTTCTCATCTCAAACTCTTTGGGAATGTCTGGAACACTGCAGGGGTGGTAGGGTAGCGTAGTGGTGTAAGGGGGCGGTGGGGTAGTCTAGTGGTTAAAGCGTTGGCTCGTCACGCCGAAGACCCGGGTTCGAATCCCCACATGGGTACAATGAGTGAAGCCCAGTTCTGGTGTCCCCCGTCGTGATATTGCTGGAATATTGGTAAAAGCGGCGTAAAACCAAACTCAGGCAGTCAGTCAGTAGTGGTGTAGGCGTTTGCTCGTCATACCCAAGACATAGATTCGATTCCCCACATGGGTACAATGAGCAACGCCCATTTCATCCACGCTAAGACATTGCTGGAATATTGCTAAAAAGCGGCGTCAAATAATATTCACTCTGAACACTTCCAGTTCAGAGACTGGATGGAGATCTATATTCCATCCCGATAATGTCAAAGACATATACCATTTTCAGGAACCTGAAATACAAAATAGGCTAAAGTTGACAATTCGCATGGTAATGTGTAGTAGAGAACCTTTACTGCTCTAGTGTTAGTCCTTTGGGAAAAGATCAAATTTAATTGACATTACAATTTCAAAGGCAGAGTTGTTGACAGTTTGGAATGAATTGCACTACAAACGGAGAAAGAGCAGAGAGAAGATTACATACGCACATTATATACCTCCCACAATGCAGCAAGGCTATGTCTTGGTTCGGTGGCACGACCGAAAGACTCCAAACTTTGTATCTTTACTACACATTATGCATATTGATAAGATATAACTTTTATACTATAGCTGGCATCCATTAACATTTACGAGGAAATCCATATATTTGATAAGTCTAAGAATAGTTAGATTTGTTGAACCAAGTATATAATCATTTCGTATTTATTTATTCCAAAGATAAAAATTAGACATTCTAGTTTGGCGCACAGCACCGAGAACAATTTGTTTTACCACGTAGTGTACGAGTGTAGGTATAGAATCCCCGGCTC